AAGAAAAGAAAAGAAAAGAAAAGAAAAGAAAAGAAAAGAAAAGAAAAGAAAAGAAAAGAAAAGAAAAGAAAAGAAAAGAAAAGAAAAGAAAAGAAGAAAAAGAAATTCCCAGGGAAGAAAATAACGGTGTGGGGGAGGAAGGAGCCCGGAGTCAATGGGAACTTTCCCGGCTGCTGAAACATAAACAGCCCTTCCGTGTTGACACAACATTTTAAAGGTTTCACGGCAGGAAAAAATAAAAAAAAGCTCCTTGTCAAGAGCGGCCGAGGCAGCCCCGCTGCCCTGCGAGGGGTTTTACCCCGGGGGAAGCGGCCGGTGGAATTCCCGGGAGCTGCGGGGGTGAGGCGCGGGGGGCGCCGGATTTGGGGTGCGGGGAGATCCTGAGGGGTCCCCGCTAGGAAAAACCTCGCGGGTGCAGCGGAGCTCCCGGTTTTCCATCCCCACATGGTGGGAATGGTGTCCGTGTGTCCGTCTGGCCGGTTGTCCTTTCCTCCGTGCCAGCCTTGCAAAAAGGGGGTGGGTGCAACAAATTAAAAAATAAAAAAAAAAAGGGTTTAGCAGCGCTGAATCCTTGAGTGTTTTCAAAGAATGATTCCACGGCTTCCCCTGAAATTATGACTTAATTATGAAATAAATCCGTTCCCTTTTGGCATTGGAAAAGGGGAAACCTTTCTGGGATTCCCACCAGGCAAAGGTCGCGCACGGAGATGTTTTTTGAAGGGGGGGGGTGGTTGCGATCAACAAAACCCTTTGGAAAAATCCCAAAGCGGAGAGTTTGGGAGGGGCTCCGAGGAAGGTGAGCTTCACCTCTGGGCTGTTCCCAGGATTGATTGGGGCCATCGGGAAGTTTCCACGCTGGCCACGAGCCCAGCTGGCACGCAGGGCGCCGGGAAGAATTCCCGAGGCGCTGCCGCGATGGGAGCGTTCCACTCGGGCTGAGACTCACAATGGGAGCGGGCTGGGCTCCAGGGGCAGCGCTGCCAGGGCTGCGGGCACCGCGCTGCCCCTTTCGGTGCCCACCTGGCCTCGCCCAGCTGAGCTTCCCTCTTGCGCTGCCGCCTTTGCCCTCCCCGCCGCTCATCCCGACGATCCCCAGGGATTTTTGGAGTTGGATGCTCGGGGAATTTCCAGGGGAAAATTGAGGTGGGGGATGAAGCAGCGCCGTGATGCAAATCTTGGGGTGATGCAGGAAAACGGATTTTGGGGTCTGGCGCGTTGTGATTTTAGGAGCCCGACTCATCCCGCCGCCGGGAATGTGCGCTGGGCTCCCCAAAATCCAGGCAGGGCTCCACCCCCAGCGGGGAGCCAGGGGGGCTCTGGTGGGTCCCCTGGGTGCGGGGGGGGCTCAGGGTGTCCCCCCAGACCCCTCCGAGTGGCGCCCCAGCCTTTGGGGGGTCTCGGCCTCTCCGCGGAGCTCCGGGGCACAGCGTGGAGCTGTCGCACGTGGGTCCCCGGCGGGCAGGGGGCACCGAGGGGAGGGGACGGGGCTCGGGGCCGCCTCCTTCCCTCCTCCTCCTTCTCCTCCTCCTCCTCCTTCCCTCCTCCTCCTTCTCCTCCTCCTCCTCCTCCTCCTCGCTCCCTCTCTCCGCCCGGCGCCGGGGCAGCTCCCAGCGGAGGCGTTGGGGACATGGAGCGGACCTGAGGCGGTGGCGGAGCCCGCAGCGGCACCGGGGAGGGACCGACACCGGCACCGACACCGGGGAGAGACCGACACCGACACCGGGGAGGGACCGACACCGGCACCGACACCGGGGAGGGACCGGCACCGGCGGCGGCGGCACCGGGGCTCAGCGCAGCGGAGCTGTGAGTGCGGCCGGGGGGCACAAACACAGCCCCGGGGGCACCGAGACAGCCCCGGGGGCACCGAGACAGCCCCGGGGGGCACAAGCACAGCCCCGGGGTGCCGAGCACCCTGCGGGCTCGGGAAGCACCCTCGGGGGTCGCGGCTGAGGGAACCGATCGGGGAAACCCCCCCCCCCCCACGAGCCCCTGGGCTGGGGGAGGAGAAGGGGAAAGGGGAAAAGGGGTGCGGGGTCCCAAAGTTTGGGGCCGCGAACTCCGCTGCGAGCGCCACCGCCACAGCCCCGGGGAGCCCGGCAGGAGAGGGTTAATTCCAGAAGAGGGTTAATTCCAGCAGGAGAAGGGTTAATTCCGGCTCCGGGGTCTGCGCGTCCCCCGGTGCGGGCACAGAGCGCGGTCCCCGCTGGGGGATTTGGGGACATGGGGACACAGGGACAGGGGGACAGGAGGACATGGGGACAGGGGGACATGGGGACAGGGGGACAGAGGGACAGGGGGACAGCGGGACAGGGAGACAGGAGGACACGGGGACAGGGGGACAGAGNGGGACAGGGAGACAGGAGGACACGGGGACAGGGGGACAGAGGGACTTGGGGACAGAGGGACAGAGGGACAGGGAGACAGGAGGACACGGGGACAGGGGGACATGGGGACACGGGCACATAGGGACAGAGGGACACGGGGACCCCCGGCGCGGTCCCCACGGTGTCGGGGACAGACGGACGCGCTGTGGTGGCCCGGACAGAGCCGCGTGTGTTTCGGGGGGCTTCGGGGGACACGGGCGGGTTGGGGTCACCGTCGTTGTCGCCACCTCTTGTCGCGTCCTTCATCCTCGAACCTCGTCCCCACGGGCCGGGTGACACCTGGTGCATCCCGCCGGTTGGGGACAGGCGACACCGATGGCTCCGGCCACCGCTGGCAGGAAAAACCCGGCCGGTGTCACCCGCGGGCGGCGAGAGGCACAAACACCGCCCCGCTGTCGCGACAGAGAGCGGCGACAGCGCCGAGCTCTGTCGCTTTGCTGGGACAAACTTTGTCACCGCCACGGCGACATCCCCGGAGCCGCCGCGGGGACCCCACAGCGGAGCCCCCCGCGCAGCGGGGATGCTCAAATTGGGGGAAATTTGGGGGTTTTTCCACCCCTGGGCAGCGGAAAATTCTCATTTCAGTGAGTTAAACCCGGCGAAGTTTCGCGGCCCTGCGCGGTTCTGAAGGGGAGGATTTAGGGCGAAAAAGGCGAAAAAAGCGAATTTTTTTGGCGCTTTCCACCTCTGAGGAACGATTTGCAGGGAGGAACGATGCTGCCCAGGGAAAATCGCGGTGCTGGAGGCTCGTGGAGCACCTCAGGCTTGGAAAACTCCCCCCAAAAAAACCGGGAGTGATGGATTTGAGGAGTGAAAAAAGGAGTTAATGGGTTTTTTTCCCCGATAACCTCCATCCCTCCCCTCTGGAGCCGATAACTCCTGTTTGTAATTCCTGCAATTTCCTCTCTCCCTTCCATTCCGTTTGCTGCAGGATCCATTCCACTGACACCGATACAATACTTTTTTCTCTTTTTTTTAAATTTTTTTTTTATTATTATTTTTTACCTCTTTTCTTTTCAAAACCCAGTGATTTTCGGAGGCTTTTGTGCCGCTAAAAATTAAAAATAGCAGCTGGCCTTTGACAGCCACAGCCAGGCTCAGGCCAGATTTTTTGACCCATTTTCACCATCATCATCATCCTCACATTTCCGTCCCTCCCACCCCCAACTCTCCCCAGCAGAGCAAAAAAAAAAATCCCAATTTTTAATTCTTTATTTTTTAAAAAATCCCATTTTTTCCCCTCTTGGTAAAGCTCAGCTCCCCCGTTGCTTTTTTTACTTCCACCCCAACCCTCCCTTCTCCCTAAATTTGAGTTTTAGCCCAACTGGGAGATGTCCTGAGGGGAATTTCTGGACTTTTTGTCTCCCTGCCGAAATGTCCATTATTATTCCTGGGGGGAATCTGTGCTCGTAAAGTTGTTATGTGCTCCGGGGGTTTAAATTTCATTTATGGGTTGGTGTCCCTGGGAAGGGAGCATGGAAAAGCTGCTCCGGCACCGGGATTATTTTTAATTTTGGGGTCTGCTGGGCTCCCCAAAAAAGGGGGAGCACATTAAATTTTTCAGCGGGATTATTTTAAATTTTGGGGTTTTCTGGAGTGTCTAGGAATGAGAGCACATTGAAACCAAATTTTCAGTGGGATTGTTTTTAATTTTGGGGTTTTCTGGCACCTCTGGGAAGGGGAGAACATTGAAACCAAATTTTCAGTGGGATTTTTTAAATTTTGAGTTTTTTTCTGGGGTCCCTGGGAAGGGGAACATGTTAAAGTTGCTTTTTCAGTGGGATTATTTTTATTTTTGAGGTTTTCTGGAGTGTCTACAAATGGGAGCACATTGAAACTAAATTTTCAGTGGGATAATTTTTAATTTTGGACTTTTCTGGGGTCCCTGGGAAGGGGAGCACAGTAAATGTGCTCTGGCACTGGGATTATTTTTAATTTTGGGGTTTCTGGGGTCCCTGGGAAGGGGAACATGTTCCTACTGCTCTTTCAGTGGGATTATATTTAATTTTGGGGTTTGCTGGGGTACCCAAAAAGGGGAGCACAGTAAATCTGCTGTTTCAGTGGGATTATTTTTATTTTTGAGGTTTTCTGGGGTCCCTGCGAAGGGGAGCACATTAAAACATATTTTTCAGTGGGATTATTTATAATTTTAGGGTTTTCTGGCACCCCTGGGAAGGGGATCATGTCCAAGCTGCTCTTTCAGCTGGGTTATTTTTGGGATTTGGGGATTTTGGGATTTTCCGGGCTCCCCTGAGCCCAGCTGTGCCCGGGGCTCCCAGGGCTGGGCCGCTGTGGGGTGACGGCGGCTCTGGGGTGCTCTGAGCCCCCCGGCTGAGGTTTTGGGGGTCCAAACCCCCAAAAAAGGGTGAGGGGTCCGTCCCTGCTGGGGCTGGGGCTGGCTGGAGCGTGTGGGGACTGAGAATTCCCGGGATTTGGGGCACAGGGATTGGGAATTTCCTGGTGGGGATGTGGGACAGAGAGGGAATCGCTGGGGGATGGAGGTGGAGGGAATCTTTGGGGTACAGGGGATGGGAATTTTTGGGATGGAGGTGATGGGAATCTTTGGGGTACAGGGGAAGGGAATCTTTGGGATGCAGGTGATGGGAATATTTGGAATGGAATTGATATGAATTTTTGGGATGGAGGTGATGGGAATCTTTGGGGTACAGGGGAAGGGAATCTTTGGGATGGAGGTGATGGGGATTTTTGGGATGGAGATGATGGGGATTTTTGGGATGGAGGTGGAGGGAATCTTTAGGATACGAGTGAAGGGAATGTTCAGGACGGAGGTGATGGGAATTTTTGCGGTACAAGGGAATGGAATCTCTGGGATGGAAGTGGAGGGAATTTTTGAGATAAAGGGGGAGGGAATCTTTAGGACACAGGTGACAGAAATGTTTGGGATACAGGGAAAAGGAATCTTTGGGATGCAGGTGATGGGAATCTTTGGAATGGAAGCGATGTGAATTTTTGGGATGGAGATGATGGGAATTTTAGGGTACAGGGGAAGGGAATCTTTGGGGTACAGGTGATGGGAATTTTTGGGATGCAGGTGACAGGAATCTTTGGGGTACAGATTATGAAAATCTTTAGGACACAGGTGACAGAAAACTTTGGGATGCAGGGGAAGGGAATCTTTGGGATGGTGGTGGAGGGAATCTTTCAGATATAGGTGACAGGAATCTTTGGGATAGAAGTGATGGGAATCTTTGGGGTACCGAGGAATGGAATCTTTGGGATGGAGGTGATGGGAATCTGTGGGATACAGGTGGAGGAAATTTTTGGGATACAGGTGGAGTAAATATTTGGGAGGCACTGGGATTATGTGGAAGGAATCTCTGGGATGCAGAAGGGAATCTTTGGGGCATAGGTGGGAATAGAGGGAATTGTTGGGATGCAGGTGATGGAAATCTCTGGGATGTACTGGGATGAAGGTGACAGGGATTTCTGGGATGAAGGTGACAGGAATCTCTGGGATGTGAGGGAATCTTTGGGATGAAGGTGTCAGGAATCTCTGGGATAAAGGTGACAGGAATCTCTGGGATGAAGGTGACAGGTATTTCTGGGATGAAGGTGACAGGGATCTCTGGGATGTGAGGGAATCTCTGGGATGAAGGTGTCAGGGATTTCTGGGATAATCTCTGGGATGAAGGTGTCAGGAATCTCTGGGCTCTGGAAGCCGCTGCTGTCCCAACCCTCCGTGTGCTGAGCTCCAGGATCCCAACCCACAAAAACAACCCCAGACTTTCCGGGATATTTATTTTTGGCGTCACTTTTGGGGGTCCCTCAGAGCTGAGCCCGCGCGTTTGGGGGGGACAGGGGCTCTGTCACCCACTGCAAACATTCCCGAGCTCTGTGTCTGCACGTGGGATGGAAAAATCCCCAAAACATCTTCCCCAAAAAATCTTCCAAAACAGCTCTGACCACGCAGGGACCACCTTTAACACCCTCCGGGGCCGCGCCGCTCCTGCTGTCCCACCCCGGCCGTGCTGGGGAAACTCCCGCCGCTCATTTTCCTTCAAAATTCCCATTTTTTGGAGCAAACCCATCCCCTCCCGGCGGGGCAGCGCCTGCCCCGAGCCCGCGGGGCCCCGCAGGAGCCGCTGCCCTCTTTTGTTCTCGGCTCCGGGGTGGGAAATTCCCGCTGCTCGCGGTCCCGGGGTTCTCAGGGATGAGGATGGAAAAGAGTTTTGGGGTGGTGGAGCCCCAAAACCCGGGGGGGGGACGGCCTGAACCCCGTGAGGCCGGGGAAAAGAGGGGGGTGGGAGGGGGGGGGGCTCAGGGATGAGGATGGAGGAGTTTGGGGGGCTCTGGAAGAGCTGGG